AGATCTTGGGTTAGCAAAATAGTCAGGAATCCCACGAGAAATTTGTTTGCGCTAGCCGTCCATAATTTAGCAGTGTAAGACTAGAGGGAAGGCAGCTAGTCATCACCACCCACCGCCAAATCTTGGGCTACTCTTTGACCAACGAACAGTGGGATTGACCGTAAAATTATAACACCCCTACAGCTGAAAGGGCGAGCATGTTTGGTGTGATGGGGATTCGAACCCGTGACTCTCAGATTGTGAGTCAAGTGCCCTAACCACCTGGCCATATCAATAGTAAATCATCTTTTCAAAATTTCAAGGGTAGTGCTGTAAATAGTGTTAAAAAGAATAATTCAATCATTGATATCAATGGTTGTTCCAAGTTTCCACTTGGGGAATTAATCACTGTATTTTTTATTTGTTTTGTTTATGGAAAAGCTGTTAAGGCTGTCATCCTTGATTCTAAACTGTCAACTAGAGGGAAGGCAAACCAGCCAATAGCAACCACTACCAACACTTGGACTGGGCTTCTCTATTACTAACAAACAGTGGGTTTTTTGTTTGTTTTCACACAAAGCTACTTAAAGGCTATCTGTGTTAGCCATTTCTAATTTAGAAGTGATAGACCAAAAGGAAGGCAGCTAGTCAACATCACCCACCTCTAACTCTAAACCAGTAGTAAGATGGACCATTACAAATAATCCTGTTCATTTAGTTTCTAAACTTTATTGCTACATCAAAGAATACCATAAATATCTAACAACCAATTTCTTAACATTCTTTTTAGAACATAGATCCTGAAATTTAGCTTATTGCTTGACAATGATGCTAGAGTAACATGAGATGTCACTACAGATAAAGTTACATGTAATTTTGCTTCTCCATGGTAAACTTATAATGCATGTGCAAGTGTGATTTTAAACTACAAACTCTTTTATTGCATTACACTTAAAAAAATTAAAATATGCATACATAACCTTCATTAAATATTTTTATCACCTCTTGTAAATAGCTATGGGTACTTTTAAGATTTAACACAAAAGAAAAAAAAATCCAACAAATGGTTCTGTCAGACAAATAGGTCATCAAAGAGCCAAAGGTGGATAGCTCTGTATAATCCTATCTAGTAAGAACAGAAACTCAAAACTTATATATGTTATAGTTAACCCTTTTCTTGCCAATGTTCCCATGTATGAACATGATTTACTGTATTTTGGCTACTAGATATCTTTCTTTTACATTCTGATGATATTATTTATTGATGTCACTTGAATTATCTATGAGTAATATTTCATGGCCTAAGTTTCCATCAGAATTGCTTAATTTTCATACAAGTTCTGGTTCTACAAAAATGTCAAAATTAAGGTTCACTAATTGACATCCTTCTCATAGTTTAGAGTAAAACATATTTAGAAAGTTTTATTCATTATTTATGAAATGGCATTTAGTTTACTTTCTACTGTTGTGCACAACACTTACAGCAAACTAACTTAGGTAGAAAACTAACTGGAAATATATCAATAGCATTGATCCTATTGATCAGAAAAGCACAGAAACTTGCATATATATTTGGGTAAACATACTAAAAATATGTGAAAATATGGATGTTGGCTGAAAAAAAGTAATATGTGATAGTAAAAAGGTTAAGTTTCATAATTTGAGATATTTTCTTAGGCCACTAGTAATCTAGAAAAAATTATGTTGTCATGTTGCATTTAGAGGATATTAATAAACTCAACATTATTTTTATTAAAATGCAAATTAAGCTCTAAAGTTTAGTAGTTATTTAAAACTATTCATACACAAAAAGTAGAGAAACAGGTAAAAAAAATTCAAAGTACAAACCAAATGCTTCAGTTTATCTTCAGGTACATATTAACTCTGTTTTATACTGATACTACATAAACAAAATCTGGCCATTTTCATTAATAATATAGGCCTGCGATGGTTT